CACTTGAACCAGGAAGTATGTGACGCAGGGTTCTTTTTATTACATTAAATAACCTTGAAGAATCATGCAGTCTCATCTTGAAAACAGCACGACTCATGTCTTTGTATTTGTAGTTGCAATAAACTAATGCTTACTAATTTCCTGTTTCTCCAAGATTCTTAAGCCATTTTAAGTAAATTTCAGGATGTCGGTTTGTATAAGGTAAGAATTTTTCCATTTACAGTGGAGGAGTTATTAATTAAAAAAATACTACTCCTTCACTCATTCACCCCTAGAGTCACAAATGAACCTTACCAAATCAGTGACTGGGCAAGTCCAGTTTTAATATGTAGGGGTGAATGAGTTAAATTGCTGCCGATAAAGGGATTCAATCATAATTTGGTATAGGTCATCTGTCAAATTGATACAAATGTCCAGATGCCCTATTACCAAGTTTTGTCATTGTAATCTAAAGAAATCTAAGAAGCCTTTGTGGTCTCTAGCTGTTAGAAATATATCATTTTCTTTTCTTTTCTAAAATTCACTTCCAAAGAAAAACTTGACAAATTTTACTGTAAGAAAAATGGAAAAAAAGACGCGTTAATGAATTGAACTGGAAAAAAGTAGGCGCATACATATTACTGAAATACAGTGTAGTTGACTTTTTACATGTTCTCAGCTTGTGTTCCAAATTGATTCATTTGAAATGATATGAAATCAATATTGCTTCTTTTAACAACCTTGTTTCATGTGCTTCACTTATTTCATCAGGCATATAAATTAGTTTTATTCAATATAGATTATTCATTTGCTACGCAAATTTGCACACAGATGGAATTTTTTTAATATTCAGTGTGGAGAACAACAGGTCTAACAACATCTCATTGCCAATTATTTACTAATTCTAAACTATCATTGAAGGTTTTATTTATGCGTAAAAGTTAAAAAAAAACCATGGATCTTTTCCTTCGAGGTCTTGGTGTGATGCATTATGGTTTATTAGCTCACCTGGTCCGAAGGACCAAGGTGAGCTTTATGCCATACCGTGGCGTCCATCGTCCGTCGTCCGTCCGTCAACAATTTTTTTAAACGACTTCTTCTTCTTAACCACTGATTGGAATTTAACTAAATTTGACTGGAAGCATCCCTAGGTGGTGGGGATTCAAAATTGTACAAATGGAGGGGCTGACCCCCCAGGGGGCTGAGGGGCAGGGCAAAAGGGGGGCAATTTGGCTATATTGCTTTAAGCGACTTCTCCTCTGGAACTTAAAGATGGATATCAACCATATTTGACTGGAAGCATCCCTAGGTGGTGGAGATTCAAAATTGTACAAATGGTTGGGCTGACCCCCCCAGGGGGCTGAGGGGTGGGGCAGAAAAGGGGGCAATTTTGCTATATTGCTATAAACGACTTCTTCTGTCAAACTATGTCATGGATATCTATCATATTTGGTCAGAAGCATTTATGGGAAGCAGGGATTCAAAATTGTAAAAATGGTGGGGCTGACCCCACGGGCTACTGGGTGGGTCAAAAAAAAGTTTATTACTTGAAAATGGTTGAGATCCCTACCATATAACCATATATACAATTGCTGAGTATAAAGAGAAGATTGCACATTTGCTTCCAGGATGGCCCTAGAGTCTGGCCCCACCCTTGGAGACATAGTCCCTAGGCCATTACTTTAAAACGGTTCAGATTCCCATCCCGAAACTATATATACAAATGCTGGGCATAAAGAGACGAATGCAGTCATTATATTAGAATAGACCCTGGGATCTGACAAACTCTTAGGGACCTAGTTTCTTAGTCACAGCTTGGAAACAGTTGAGATCCCCACCCTGTAACCATATATACAATTGCTGAGTATAAAGAGATGAATGCATATATGCTTCCAGGTTGGCCTTGGGGACTGCCCCATCCTTGGAGATTTAACCCCTGGGTTATAACTTCGAAATGGTTTAGATCCCCACCCCAAAACTATATATACAATTGTTGGGCATATAGAGATTAATGCAGTCATATTAGAATTGACCCCAGGGTCTGCCCCACCCTTGCAGACTTAACCCCTGGGTCATAACTTTGAAAAGGTTGAGATCCCCACCCCAAAACTATATATATACAAATGCTGGGCAAAAAGAGACAAATGCAGTCATGATATTAGAATTGATCCTGGGGTCTGGCCACAGCCCTTGGGACCTAGTTTCTGAGTCACAGCTTGGAAACAGTTGAGATCCCCACCCCATAACCATACATAAAATGGCAGGGCATGAAAAATCTAATAAAGATATGCTACAAGGATTGGCCTTGGGGTCTGGCATATTCCCTTGGATCTCATTTGGAGAATATTTTGCCTTGATTGCTTAGATAATCAGGTGAGCGATACAGGCCCTCTGGGCCTCTTGTTGAAGTTTTTTTTCCATATGATGGAACAAACCTGCTAATGGCTACAGTGTCGGAGCTGTCAGAGTTATATAACCGGTTGATTAAACTTTTATGAGCTTACAAAAGTTACTAGGTGCCAGGGTGTTGTGAGCTGTTACATTAGACTAGGTTTCACTGTCATGGTACGATGTGTATAACAGTCAGCCCAAGTCAAAGACATTCTAGGTATGGTTAGCTTAAACTATACGACCAAGTCCAGATAATGTTTGTCAGAGTTAAGGTCAATATTTACCAAATCAGCTGATATATTCTTATTCCTATAGTATTTCAGTGGTAAACATTGAATCTGTCTCAATGTTAATAAATAAAAATATCTACACAATCGGTAGGTTAAATCTAACAAATAACAGAAGATAAGTTATATGTATGACATTTAATTAGAGGCATCCTGTAAATCTATAATATAAACATGGATAGCATCAATCATCACAACATTACATCAACAGTACACATAATCTATATATACATCAGAATAAAAGTGTTGGCATAATATGGGGTAGACTCAACTTAATGCTTGTAATAGTACCAGTCTTCCTCTCGGTTGAGGTAGTATTTTGTAGCTGTGTAGACAATGTCTTACAGATTACTACAAATTGTTTGTGCAGATTATACTGTGGCTGTGCGGACTAGCGGCGACAGATTACCACGATACTGCGTTTATTGCATTGTAGCTGTGCAGGTTTTCTGGGGTAGGGTATTAAGTTTATCTGACAGTGGGTGTGGTTTATTTATCGTTATGTCAGGAAGACTGTTCGTACCATGACCCTGAAATTAACATGAAGTTTTGCATATGTTCATTTTTGTGACATTTATAGGTTTGGTTAGGAAAGCATATATATTCTGTGTTCAATGCTGCACTTGAAAATGAAATACTGTGATCAGCCAAACTTTCCCAGCAATCTTAAGTGTAATACGTAAAAGTAAGGCCTAACTTTACATAGAATCAGATATTGTTTTATTGTTTATATACCTACAAACAATTGTCCTAGGTTGATATTACCAACCTTGAGTTTATGTCATTTTATAAACATGAATAGATTTGATTGTCAGATATCCTATACTTTTGGATATAACCTACACCACTCAGTACTTTGGCCGTATTTAGTTTTTGTTCAGATACACCAGGAATTAAATGTGTTTTCTATTTAAAAGTCATCGCTTGCCTGATTGAAATTCAAATATGTTAACATGAAATTGACGTTTCAATTGATTATTTGAGGGAGATGAAGTCTGAATAACCAGGATGAGATATTATTTCATGGAATCTCATTACAAGACAAAAATTGAATGATACAAATCGCTTGCCAATATCTGATAGCTTAACTGTCTAGGTTTTTGTATTGTGTCAATGTTGGCTTTATTCACTTAAAGAATAGAAGAATGTATATATTTAAAGAAATATACCATTTTTGCAGTTCAGTTGATTTTTAAAATCAGATTAGATTATTTAAAAATATAAAAAAAAATAAGAACAGTATTGATATGATTTGGTGAAATGTTTAAAGCAGTCATTTTTCTGACACTACTGTTGTGTAATTGTTTATTGGTTGGGCCATTCCCGAGTCCACCTACATATATTGTGTAATGTTCAAGATTAATGGTGACATCTAGCTGTCTTAACTTTGGGTAATATCCATGTCAATTTTAATTTAATTGCTTTACGAATATCATATATAGCTCACTTTATAATTTGTACATCTTGTAAGTTAGACCTGTTATATATAATCTGAATGTGTTTATTTATCTTGACCTGTACGTGAAGCTAGACACACACAACAAGCTTGGTTGGGTTTGTTTGATTAAGTTTAGCATCTTATTAAAGCTTAAGTCATTTACAGACAAGCCTCTGAGTACATGTGTAATATGGAAGGGATATGTTGGTGTATTTGCCTCCTTGTGATAACACAGATCTAACAGCAACTAAAAGAGTTCCAACTCGCTGAAATACTATGCTGAAAGAGCCCTGCAGTATTCCAGCCTGTCACATCATCCTGACAATGGGTAAACCACACATCATCCTGACCATGGGTAAACCACACATCATCCTGACCATGGGTATACCACACATCATCCTGACCATGGGTAAACCAGTCGTTACCACCACTCATTCAAAACTGAACATCAAGCTGCAGGGAGCAGCAAGTAGCAAGTTTTAAAACTTCTGTTTGTCTCGGTCAGGGGACATTATCCTTATAACCTCCCTTCTTGGGTGAACGTTCAACACAAAGGCTGAAAGAGATGCATTGCAAAATGCGTTATGAAATGAAAAAATAGTCAGAAATGAGAGAGATATAAGGATTCCAAATGTTACAGATGGGTGCAATGTTTTTTGGGTTTTTTTGTTGCTTTTATGTCTCCAAGTAAAGAGTACAAAAGAAAATCCCAAATTCTGCAGGGGGTTCCCACATTAGTCATCTCCTCCAAATCATTTATAAATAGAATCAGGCATGTTCTTTTCTAAATCCCTGACCAGCAGGGGTGATACAATAAGCTTTCCATGAACAATCAAGTAAAGCCCTACCTGTACCATAAGGGGAAGCCCTACCTGTACCATAAGGGGAAACCCTACCTGTACCATATGGGGAAGCCATACCTGTACCATAAGGGGAAGCCCTACCTGTACCTTAAGGGGAAGCCATACCTGTACCATAAGGGAAAGCCATACCTGTACCATAAGGGGAAGCCCAACATGTACCCTAAGGGGAAGCCCTACATGTACCATAAGGGGAAGCCCTACATGTACCATATGGGGAAGCCCTACCTGTACCATAAGGGGAAGCCCTCCCTGTACCATAAGGGGAAACCCTACCTGTACAATAAGGGGAAGCCCTACCTGTACCATAAGGGGAAACCCTACCTGTACTATAAGGGGAAGCCCTACCTGTACCATAAGGGGAAACCCTACCTGTACCATAAGCGGAAGCCCTACCTGTACCATAAGGGGAAACCCTACCTGTACCATAACGGGAAGCCCTACCTGTACCATAAGGGGAAACCCTACCTGTACTATAAGGGGAAGCCCTACCTGTACCATAAGGGGAAGCCCTATCTGTACCATAAGGGGAAGCCCTACCTGTACCATAAGGGAAAACCCTACCTGTACCATAAGGGAAAGCCCTACTACCTGTACCATAAGGGGAAGCCCTACCTGTATCATAAAGGGAAGCCCTACTACCTGTACCATAAGGGGAAGCCCTACCTGTACCATCAGGGGAAACCCTACCTGTACCATAAGGGAAAGCCATACCTGTACCATAAGGGGAAGCCCTACCTGTACCATCAGGGGAAACCCTACCTGTACCATAAGGGAAAGCCATACCTGTACCATAAGGGGAAGCCCTACCTGTACCATAAGGGGAAGCCCTACTACCTGTACCATAAGGGGAAGCCCTACCTGTATCATAAGGGGAAGCCCTACTACCTGTACCATAAGGGGAAGCCCTACATGTACCATATGGGGAAGCCCTACCTGTACCATAAGGGGAAGCCCTACATGTACCATAAGGGGAAGCCCTACCTGTACCATAAGGGGAAGCCCTACATGTACCATATGGGGAAGCCCTACCTGTACCATAAACTCCTCCGATATATGAAGCTCTTACTGTTCAGCAATTCAAAGCTTGATACTAGGATTAAAATGTAGGGTTGATTATACTCAACCAGTACAGCATATAAGATGTGTAAAGTGGGTTATGATTGATGTGTTGAATATTAGTTATGAATTAAGGTATATAGGTCACGTTATAAATCATAAAAAGCAAAAGAGAATCCTTGAGAATGACAGCATAAAAGTCCTACACCAAAACATAAGTATGAGAAGCTTGACACTGCTGAAGTAACAGATACACTGTCTTTTCTTGAGGTGTTAGACACAGTACAATATTTTCTTCTCAAATTTAAGAGTGAACTGAAATAATGTGCTATGTTGGAAATGTTTTGGCAGTGGAACCATGCACCAAATACTGATGACAGTAAACAAAATTACATAACCTCTGATTACATAAAGGTGGCCCGTCTCACTGAGATTCTGAGTCATGATCTAACGAGTGCTTGTAAGCCTTTTTTTTAGACCTTCACCTTACATTTCGATTTCAAATAAACCTTCCTTAGCATTATCGACTTTAAATGAAATGCCTTATCGCATCAGTGTTAGTATTGCTAAACACCTACGGTACTCTGATTATCGTAGAGAGAAGCGGTACAAGTCGTAATACCTGGATTTACACCAGATTACTCTTGTCATTTGGGCATACTTTGCTGTAATGCTGTTCTAGGTGTAATTTGCCAGTGCAGTTTAATGTGGTATCAGAGGACGAAGGTATGACATCTTCATGGCAGTTATATTGGTCGGTCGCCTGGCTTACATAATCCACATTTTTTACATTCCAAATGTCAGTTCACCTTACTGTCATGCAGCTTAAGTTCAGTCTCGAAAATCTGCTAAGGGCATAGGTTTTCTTGAGTTTTGTTTCATTTCAATTTGAGGTATTTGAAATCTGGAATGTAATGTAAAAAATCTGTTTTGCCTTTCAGAATGTAGTATATAGAGGACATGGTTTTCACAGTGATAAATATTGATATGCTTTAGTCCACTAATGCACTCTAAAAGGTGGGTATTGATAAACTGTTCACTTGACTGAAAACAAATTTGTAATTACGTCAGAGCAGTTTTGTCTTTGAAAGCAGGTATGTGTTGTCATTTTATCTGATGAAATCGTTATGGAAAATATATTCTAGGTTCTGGCATCATTAATGAAAGAGCAGACAGGATGTTTTGACAAACATAATACATGCTGCTGTTATTCTGAACCAAGGCAGAAAGAGTTTACTGAGGTATTGCCCATCAATTATTGACGGTCAGATGGTGTGACAGATAAACAGGAATATACTGTGTTTTACCTGTGATATGCACAGGGGAAGGACTAGCTCTTATGTATTGCATTCTAAATTTTCAGTTATTTTTGATCTATAAACAAAGATATTCCCTTCTATTTTCAATATTTAAGTGTCTAGGTCATCAGTGCAAACAAGATTCCTGGTACAGCCTAATGTCATGCACTAAAATGTTTTTCTCAAGTGGTCGTCGGGTGGTGCATGCAGTGGATAGCACATGTTCACCAACCATGTGATTTTTATCCGAGTACGCCTATTTCCTCCCACATTAAGACCCCCCTGTGCACTAACATCCGGTCCAACATAATTGTTGTAAAATAAATAAAGTTTATATAAATGTTTGTCTCATATTAATCAAGGCAGGAGGAGAAACTAAAAAAAAAAATGACGCTGGTCTAATTGCGTTCATAGCCCTGTGAATGCAATTTCTTATGGTAATGCTTGTAGAGAAACTTTCAGTGGTAATGTAAAATATAGCAGGGTATAAGATGGATCGGCTGTTCCCAATGTAGCCAATACCAACTTATCTACTAGAATTACCTATGCATAGTACCTGAATCTACATCAATAAACTCATTTATTACTTACTTTCAAAGAGATATTCAATTCTATACATCAGCTTAATAGAACAGAGGTCTTCTATACTCTGACAGATATCCAAAAGTGACATTTGTCGAAGTGTGAAGATGATGCTTTTAGTTTTAACCAATCGAAAAACATTCACCTATTCACTGCATCCAATGCCACAGATTTTCTGGTCAGACGCAGATGACGCGACGGTATAAAAAGTGGTTGATTTAGTGAGTCTAAGACTACACATGATATTTACCTTACTACATAAGTGATATCATTTTGTGAACAAATCTTACGAGATATCAGCATAAAACGGTAGGATATATTGAGCTATCAATTCAAAATGTGGACAGCCATATTGTTGTCAAGTGTGACTTCATTAGTAATGTTATGATTTCACTATTTAATCTCCAACTGTTTCGATGCTGTAATATTCTTTCGTCATTGTAGTTAGTTGAAAAATGTAATATACAGAAAATTTAATGGCTTACACTTGAAAACCATACATTTTTTTACCCGTATGGTAGAATTTATGTACTGATATTTCAATTGTGCTTTGCATTTGCGAACAATATCGATACTCTGCCGTACGAGTGAAAATAAGGTATTCAACAGAAACCATAAAAACTCCTTTATCTGTTGATGTATGGGGTTGGACGTCCTCACAACAGTCCAATAGGTCATGTGAAGACGGAGGTGTCAAGGTATTGTCACCCTTGTTAAAATAAGCTGCTTCCTTCTGACTCGGCTAGGCAGAGTTTCTCTTTAAACACATAATGAACTATTCCAACCTTTGGTTTGGAAGAGTTCAAACGTGTCTTCAGGGGTGAATGAGTTAAAGTCAATCGATACAAGGTCAGACAGGTAAGCCAGAGGTCACCTGTTCAATCCCTAGTAGATACATTAAAATATGATAATCTCTTTTACTTTGGCACCTGAGTAGAAACCGGGGAAATATTGACAAAAAAATGTGTGCAGCCTTGCTGTCAAAAGCATTGGTAACGTTACATCCGGAAACTAAGTTCCTTCCTGAAGGGGGAGTATGTCATCCAGGTTAAATACTTCAGGATCCCTGTACCACTGCCAAAAACTGTTACTAAGTGTATAGGAAACTGCTTTTTTGGCATGGCCATTATAGCTTCGATAAATCATTTTCTGAAAAGAAAAACATAGCTTGAGGGACTTTTTATCAGAAAAAACAGATGAAAGAAAGAATCAAGAACATTGTTTTGAATGTAAAGATTCAGTGGGGCTTAGACCAAGATTCAAACTTATGATCTCAGATTGTTATACAGTTGCTCTAACTGATTGAGCTACCATGCAGGTCAACAGATTTGTCCTGGCCCAACTGTTCTGCAATTATATCCAAACAGAAGTAAAGGGGAGGTCACTGTATATAGGAAAAACCACAGTGCTGTGGGACAAGGAATTCTTTTGAAGCCACTCACTTCCTACCAACTTCATAGCTCAATTGGTCAAGCACTAGAAGTCTAAGGTTTCATCCTTTGTGGAGACAGGAAAAAGGGACATGAACAAAACAATGGCCTTTGTTACAGGGATTTACATGGTTGACAAAACTTTGAATATAGATATCAGAATAGTGCTGCCACCTAGCATCAAGGGAAGGTAACAACCGAGTGAATGTGCATGTTCTTTGAATAAGTAACTGAAAAATTCTAATGAAATTATACGTGTATATATAGCAATATTAAAACATGTCTAAATACCACGATGACACTTGGCAGTTTTCTTTTGGGACACAAATTGTTTGAGCTCCACCATGTAGTCAGCTTAAGTTGTACCATTATCACAGTTCCCTAGCTATGGTCCTTATCTTGACTGATCCCTGGAACACGTATTGGTACAGGGCAAGGGTTGAACAGTTACATTGGGGGGCTTTATCAGTTAATTTGTCACCATATTAAAAAAAGGCATTGCTGTTCCGGGACACTGGTCAGGTTAACTGACCATATAAATCTGTAAGCTGACCTTCTTTAGGCATAAACGGACCATAAGCAAGCCTAAATTGATCATGTATAGGCCTTTATAGTTTACAAGTTTATACACAAGTTTGCTTGGTATTTGATTACTTATTGGACACAAGCAAGACCTGTTCTCCTATTGCATACTCTGATATGATGTAATTCATATTACATCATGTACCACACATATTACATCATGTACCACACATATTACATCATATACCACACATATTACATGTCAATTTCACAGTTTAACAGTTGTAATTATGGACAGAGGGCCGTCTTCCTTCCTACTGATATAAGGTTTGTTGGTCTGCCCCAGACTAAAGCCCATTACTGGTCAGTGGGTGGAAAGGCCTAACTAGGTCATGATCAAAGTAGCACGTCTGGTTAGTCAGTTTGAATTGTCTCTTCGCAGAGATTCTTCGGACTGTTTATTCAAAGAAACATAGATTATAATCCTGACATAGATTATATAGGCTTATGCCTGTTGCCCAATCAAGATTGATTATTTGATCAATAAAATGTATTCAAAATAGATTATAATAATCAATGACATCATCACATTGATTGCTAAGCCTCTTACTACATGTGTATTGGCCTTATACAAACCTCTGAAGAGATGAAAACACTTCAGGCTGCTGCTCGAATCTCTTGCTTTTTTCTTTTCTATATATCTTTACCATCACAAGGACTTTTGAGTGTCCATCAGTAGTAACTAATAAAATTATAATATATTCTGAAAAATACTCTTAACCCTGCATGGCCAGTTCTTCACACCCAACACCTCACCATATAAACATGGACAAGACATAATGGCCTTCAATTAATGGAGTTGGATTGGCTGGGAGAAGACATTTGTCAGTGAAGAGCTGACCAGACTTGCTTGGAATTTCTCATTAATGTGCAGCCACTGTATCCAAGCTTGGCTTGGAAGGAATTTGACCTTAATCTAAAGCATCTAAATGTCAGACCTTTTCTTCTGTTTTTGTGAAATGGTAATAAGGTGATAGTGATGGTTCCAAAACCAGTCGGCCATTCCAGCAGTGATACAGACAAGGGCTATCTAATTTTAAATTTGATCGGTGTATGGTTAGGCCTTTAACTGACTATGTCCTATATTATAATAATGGTTGTCATGTATTGCAGATATTAAAAGTAGTTTACAATACAACCTGCCTATAAAGACTGTCCT